GTCTGTGGAGCGAGAGAAGGGGTGTAGAGGGTCTGGCGGGACGGGGGGGTAGAGGGTTCTGGGCGGGATATCACCCGCGGGGAGAGGACGGAGAGGGGGGCGGGCCGGGGGGTATGGGGGGTCGCGGGTATGGGCGGGATATAAACCCGCGGTTATGGGGCGAGCGAGGGAGAGAAGGGGGGTCGAGGGTAGAGGGTTCTGTGGAGGAGAGAGGGCGGTGCCGGGGGTAGGGGGTCTGGGCGGGAAGGGGGGCGAGGGGTATGGGCGGGCTAACCCCAGCGGTTTCTGTGGAGAGGCGCGAGAGGGAGCAAGGGGGGTGCGGTCGCGGTAGGGGTGAGGAGAGGGCGAGACGGGGGGGTTAGCGGGTCTGGGCGGGAAGGGGGGTCGTCTGGGGGTAGCGGGTTAGGGCGGGCTAAAACCCGAGGGTAGGGAGGGAAGGGGGGTAGAGGGTTATGGGAGGGCGAGGGAAGGGGGGGGTGTTTATAGAGGGGTGGGGTAGGTTAAGGCGGGATGGGAGGGGAAGGGGGGTATGGGTGGTAGCGGTGGTTGGTAGAGGGTAATGGAGGGATACAACCCGAGGGTTGTAGGGGAGGGGGGGTAGGGGGTAGAGGGTATGGGAGGGATTTCAAAACAGAGGTATGGGAGGGAAAGGGGGGTAGGAGGGTAGTAGGGGTATGGGAGGGAAGGGGGGTCGAGGGTATGGCGGGATACACACCGGGTTAGGGAGGGCCGGGGGGTCGAGGGTTAGGGGAGGGAGGGGGGGTCGAGGGTATGGGCGGGAAGGGGGGTGGGGTAGGAGGGTATGGGAGGGAAGGGGGGTAGAGGGTATGGGAGGGAAGGGGGGTAGAGGGTATGGGAGGGAGGCGTGGAGAGGGGTAGGAGGGAAGGGGGTTGGGTTAGAGGGTAGTATGGGAGGGAATAAAACAGAGGGTATGTGAGGAGCCGAAAGGCTATAAGTTGGTGGGGGGAATGAGAGAAGAGGGGGTGTTGTGGGTGTGTGGGTGTGTGTGTGTGTGTGTGGTGTGTGTGTGTGTGTGGGTGTGTGTGTGTGTGGTGGTGGCAGCATCATCACATCGTGATTGACTGTTTCCATTGGTTGGCTATCATTGGAATTTACCTGGAAATTTGTTTAAGCCTTTTAGAACATCTGACAAACATAGTTGCCATCTAATTCCCAATGGGCTACAGACTACAGTGGATGGAACAGTGAGATAATGTTGCCATTGGTTAGTAAGGAATTAACACTATCAACCACAATGCCTTTAAAAAGCACCAAATCGTCCAGTTCGCCATGTGTGTTAGGCCCTGCATGTGAATAAATGTCGTCTACAAAATAATCCCAATGTGTTTATTCTAGAGATTTTAAAAAAAAAAAAAGTTAATATTTTGACTCCTCAATCCAGGCTACCAGTTTTCGGTGGACAATTCTGTTGTTTAGTCCAAAGGCACCTGTTTCCTACGTAGTGCACTCTTTAGACCAGAGAATGGCACCCTATTCCTATATAGGCACTACTTTAGACCAGAGCCAGAGAATGACCCCCATTCCCAATAGATGCAACACTACTGTAGACCAGAGAATGGCACCTATTGCCCTATATCGTGCACACTTTAGACCCAGAAATGGCACATATTCCTATCTAGTGCACTACTTGAGGACCAGGAATGGCATCCCTAGTCCCCTTTATAAGTGCACTACTTAGGACCAGAGAATGGCCCCCTATTCCTTATTATAGGCACTACTTTATAGACCAGGAGAAGGGACCCTTTCTGCATAGCACTACTTTTTAGCCCAGAGAATGGCACCTCATTCCTCATTATAGTGCACACTTGTGACCCGGGCTAAGGTGGGTACAGCAGACAATATGTTCACCTATAGGGATGGCTGATCCACAAGGACAGGAGCGAAAAATGAGGGAAGAGAGAAAGAGATAGGGGAGGGTGGCAACAACGGGGGGGGGGGGGGGGGGGGTTATGCCAACCATAGAGACCGTGCGTGCCCGCAGTGCCGTGGAAGTGGACAGCAGCTCGCGAGCCCGCCCTCGCCCTCTCAACGCCTACCCGGACACCGCGATAGGACAGCGCGCGAGGATAGCACAGAGAGATATGAGAGAGAGAGAGATATATATATGAGATATATATATATATATATGAGAGAGAGAGAGAGAGAGAGAGAGAGAGAGAGAGAGAGAGAGAGAGAGAGAGAGAGGCAATAACAGGAAACACCGCGCGCAGGGCTTTCCTACCGAGTCGATGCTCGCGCTGACCAGAGCAAACGGAAGGGCACGAGAGGAGCGGCTGCAGACAGATACAACGGGAAGAGGAACATTAGAAGAACCCCTCACAACTCTAAACGGAACCAACCGGTTCTAACAGTCTCACGGAGAGAGAGAAAAAGAGAGAGAACAGTCGGTTTCCGTGCGGGAGTTATCCAGTTAAGTGAGTTGTTAAAAGTCAATTCTACTTTTGGTTTGTCACGCTGTCTGTATGTCCTTTCCTGTGACTGCGCTACCAGTGTGTGTGTCCGTCCATGTTTATGTAGCCTAGCCTATTATCAACTGCGACATACGTGCACAGACAATTAATGGGTGCCCGCAGCCCTTCGCTCCCCACTGGGCAAAAACGGGTTGAATTAACGTTATTTCCACGTCTGTTGAACCCAAAATATCTATGTGAGGACGTTAAATCAACGTGGAAAACTGTTTGGATTTGTAAAAAGTCATCAACATTAGGTCATTTCGTATTTTTTTCACCCAACTTTTAACCGAAACCCAATGACATGGTGACATTTGTTGATTTCACATTAAATGACAACTCAACAAATGTAAATCAAACTAGACGTTGAACAGTCAGGACAGAGAGCGGAACCGGAGTTCTCTCACGGTCACGGTGGACAGATGTTCCAAGCCGCGCGGAAGCCTCAAAGAGAGCAAGACCTTTTAATCTAACAACAACGGTTAGGCCTACTTTTATAGTAATTTATAACAAACAGAATTGTTTTAAAAAAATAAAAAAATATGTCTCTCTCTCGTTAAGCTACATCTCTCCAAATGATTTGGGTCGTTGTTAGTTGAGTCTGTCTATCATTTGGTCTTTTTCGGTTATATCCTGAATTCCTGATCCCGTTTTCAATAGATGGATAATCTAAAGGTTATAATCTAACCGTTACAGATTCGAATTTATCTAGATAATTCCAACCGTTAAGCGCATTGCATAGACTGCCTGCCCGGCTCGCTGGCCACCACCATCTGCTCTGTATTAAGAGAGATGGAATTTGAATAATTGATATTGATCTATTTTTAGGTTGTTGGATTATATAGTTCATGTTGCAACGGAATTATAATAACCCCCTACCATGGTGACCATTGGGGCTGATGTGGCCTATTCTCGGTAGGGTTAAAAAGCCACACATTTAGTTGAATTAATTGATGGATTATAGCTAGACACAAATCCTATTTAAAATGAGACTTTTTTTTGTCTGTCTGTCCCTCTGTCCGGTATGTTAGCCTATATATGAAGTACTGTGAAGTGCCTCTGTGTTATTATCACTGTCGAGTGGGATTGCTGCTTTCACACTGCTACCTGTCCACTGTTGTCTTACCTATTTCTCTCTCTGTGTGTGTATAGGATGAGCAGGAGAGAGGGTAAACAGTCTGAATAAACAGAGTTTACAGCTGTCTATGAGCTGATAACATAACAGTGAGGAGAGGGAGAGTGGAGGATACAGATCGAGAGAGAGAGATCTGCCATACTCCACTAAAGTTTGTTTATGGGTTTTATTTAATTTTTTATTTTACCTTTATTTAACTAGGCAAGTCAGTTAAGAACAAATTCTTATTTACAATGACGGCCTACACCGGCCAATCCCGGACGACGCTGGGCCAATAGTGTGCCGCCCTATGGGACTCCCAATCACGGCCGGTTGTGATACAGCCTGGAATCGAACCAGGGGGGTCTGTAGTGACGCCTCAAGCACTGAGATGCAGAGCCTTAGACCGCTGCGCCACTCAGGGAGCCCGAGTGAGTGGTTTAGTGAGCATGTCTCTGGAACATTCCGATTATGGGTTTTTAGTGCAGACAGGCCATGCGTAGCCAATGTGATTTATAGGATATGTATTTTTATCAGGATATTTTCTACCTGCAGGCTGAAATGTTTTATATTTGTTCTGGTTAGTCTATATTGATCTCTGGCTCCCTCTTTAGTAATTTGTGTCTTTAATTTTCAATCGCAGTGCTTAAAGCATCAGACATGCTCAGTAGCCTACATATAGTTGATTTTATTCAAACGTTTATGAAAAAATACACGTTTGAACATTTTGACAAATCGATTGGTCGAAAGAACAGACGACTCTCGGTCGACCAATATTTTTTTTTAGTTCGGGGACAACCATACTCTGGAACGTTCCGTTTATGGGTTAATTGGGCATGGTTCCTCTGGAAACGTTCAGTTTGTCGATCAACGTAACGCATTTGCAGGAAAAAAGGGGTCAAATATATGTTGGATCTCTAACCGTTATATCTCATCTGTCTCGCTCATCTCACTCTCATCTCTCTCTTGCTCTTCTCCCTCAATCTCTGTTGTCATCTCCCTCTCTCTCGTCTGTCGTCTCTCTGTCCTCCTCTCCTATGTTGTCTCTATCTCTCTCATCTCCCATCCCTTGTCTGTCTCTCTTTCTAGTCTCTAGTTCTCTCTCTACCATACACCTATCTATCGCTCTCTCTCTCGTCTCTCTCTTCGCTCCTCTCCGCTCTCTCTGTACTTCTCTATCTCTCTCTCTCTCCTAATCTCTCTCTCTCTCTCTCTCTCTCTGTCTCCTCTCTCTCTGGTCTCTCTCTTCTGTCTCTAGCTCTCTCTGTCTCTCTCTTTCTGTCTCTCTCTTTCTGTCTCTTTCTCTCTCTCTCTGTCTCTGTCTCTCTCTCTCTTTCTCTCTCTCCAGAAACAGTCATCGAGGAGGAGAAGAGAAGGAGCTATGGATTCCCCCTCTGATCTGTTTGGTCATCAGTCCTCCCTGATTTCACCTTTCGACCCGTACCCCAACCCCTCCGACCACCCTACACCCTCAGGAGGGGGGCACGGTGCACCCTGCCCCGGAGCCAACCCCTCCTCGCGACCCCCCTACCCCCTCATTCACCACCTGTTGCAGCCTGGTGGAGCCCCCATGAGGTCCGGGGGGCAATTACACCTACACAGATATAACAGGGAAGAGGAGAAGGAGGAAGGAGGGATGGACAGAGAAGAGGAGGAGGAGGAGGAGGAGGGGGAGAGGATGGGTGGAGGATTGGTAGGGGTGGGGGTAGGGGGGAAGAGGCTCAGTGGTGCTGGCCCTAGTGGCGGACTGGGGTTATGACATGCTGAGAGTGAAGAGATTGAGACTGGAGAGTCTAGTTAAAGGAGATGGAGAAATAGGCTTAGAGGAAGAGGAGGAGAGGGGGAGGAGGAGTGTGGAGAGGGGGAACAGGGAGAGAGGGAGGGAGGAGAGGAGAAAGGAGAGAGAGGAGCTGAAGGAACAGTTGGAAGAGGCGAGAGGAAGACTGAAGACCTTGCAGGAGAAAGTATGGAAAGCTTTCGGAGAGAGACCCACTCAGGAGGAGAGGAGGAGCGGAAGAGAGGAGGATGGGGATGGAGGGATGGATGAAGAGGAGGAGACGGCAGAAGGGATCACTGAAGAGGAAGAGGAGGGGGGAGAAATAAACAATATGTCTCTTTCCTTCATCCCCTCTCCTCCTTTCTACAGCATCGCTAAACAAGACCAAAAAGCCAGGGATCATGGGAAACAAATGGGTGAAGATAAGGGGAACGTGAACGGAGGAGGGGGGGTGTTTTTGGAGGGGGTTCTGGAGAGAGCGGCGGTGTGGATGGGGTGTGGGGTGGTGAGGGGGGAGTGGGAGGGTTTTGGGGGAGGAGGCGGGGGTCAGAAGTTTGCCCAAGCTTTGAAACAGGAACTGGGGAGTGCTGTAGCTCGAGTCATCGATAGGGTCCTCCGTCTATACACCCAAAACGAACCTCTCCCTCCCTCTATCCATCCCTCCATCTTGTCGTCCAGAGAGAGAGGGAACGAGGGAAGAGGCGGTGAAGGAGTGTGGGCAACCCCTAGAGAGAGGGAGGAGAGGAGGGGGCGAGGGGGTGCGACGCATGACCAGCAACCCCCCCGCCCAAACGGAGCTCCCCCCCTCCACCCCCACGCCTTCCTAGAACAATCTGAAGCGTTGCCGTTGGTTACGCGTCGACCCGACAACCGTCGAAACACACTTCTACCCCCCAACAACCACCCTAACAACCGCACTCACAACCCTCTCCTCCCTCCTCACCCCCTCCCCCCTCTCCGTCAACCTCACCCCCACCCTGCCTTCCTCCCCCCCGCCTCTCGTCATAAGGACACCTCCCCCTTCCTCCCCCCCTCCTCCTGCCCTCTCCCCCTCCCCCTCCTTCACTACACCATGCAACAGCTCTTCACCCGTTCTCTCTCTCACCTTCCTCCTCTCCACAAGGGGGACGTTATGAACTCTGACACTTACATGGAGGGGAACCCTTTCCCCCCTCAGCACAACCCCTCCTCCTCCTCCTCTCATCTCTCCTTCCCTCCTCTCTCCCTCGCTCTGATGGGCGGGTTGGATCGGCTGGATGGAGGGATGCATCATCTACATGACAGAGATAGAGAGAGGGATGGAGGGATGAGAGGAGGTGGAGGGGATGGAGGGATGGATTCAGGGATGTATCTCGGACCGGGTTCAATATCCTTTTTTTTGGAAAGGGGAGAGAGAAAGAGAGAGATTGATGTGTGAGTGAGAAAGTGTGTGTGATCGTTTAGTGTGTTTCTTCATATGTTGTGTGTGTGTGTGTGTGTGTGTGTGTGTGGGTGGGAGAGAGAAAGAGAGAGATTGATGTGTGAGTGAGAAAGTGTGTGTGATCGTTTAGTGTGTTTCTTCATATGTTGTGTGTGTGTGTGTGTGTGTGTGTGTGTGTGTGTGTGTGTGTGTGTGTATCTCTGTACTACTCCTTAACCATCGTTACTCTCAGGAGGGTTTGTCTCCCTGTCATCTGAAGAAAGCCAAACTGATGTTCTTCTATGCTAGATACCCCAGCTCTAACACACTCAAGACTTACTTCCCTGATGTCAAGGTATTACACAACACACACACACACAGAAGACACTGGTCTAACACACTAGACATATTTCCCTGATGTCCAGGTACTAGTGCGCCCTCTAGTGAAACTATTTATCAACTACAACACAAGTACAACACACTGGTGAAACTCTATCGAAGTTATCACTGGACATTTGGGAATTATCTCTCTGTCCCAGTTCATATTGCTAATCAGTCAATAAACTAGTCAATACAGTACAAATTATTATTTAACAGCAAATTCTTTCATTCTCTCTCTCCTCTCTTTCAATTCAATTTAAGGGATTTATTGGGAAACATGTTTACAAAGCAAAGGAAATAGATGATAAAGAATCTTTTTTAGTTACTGGGGAGGGCGGGAGGGAGGAGGGGGTAGGGAGGGTGGGAGGAGCGTGATAAGGGATAGGGCATCTTCGTGGAGTTTCGTCTAGGGCGTAGGTCTTTCTATCTTTCTTTCTTCTTTGCTTTCTTGCTTCTTTCTTGCGTGTCTTTGGTTTCTTCTTTCTTTCTTTATTTCTTTCTTTCTTTCTTTTTTCTTTCTTTCTTTTTTCTTTCTTTTTTATCTCTCTCTCTCTCTCTATCTCGCTCTCTGCAGTTGAACCGCTGCGTGACCTCCATGATCAAGTGGTTCAGTAACTTCCGGGGAGTTCTTCTACATCCAGATGGAGCGCTTCGCAGGCAGGCTGCCGCGACGGCTTACCCAGGGACGGGGCACCCTGCCGGGTAGAGATAGCAGAGAGCGCCCCTACGCCGGGGGAGAGCCCGGAGCCTAGCATAAAAAACTGCACATAACAAAGCAACGATATAGGTAGGTGTGAGGGAGGGGGGGGAAGGAGGGGGTGGGTTTTTTTATTTGGTGGGGGGGGGGTTTGGGTTTGGTTTAAAAGGTTAAAAAAGCCGTTTAAACAAAAAGCTTTTTTTTTCCAACGCCCTTTTAAATCCCCAAACCCTTTTCACACAAGACAGCTTTAAATTTTAAAAAAACCATTTAATACAAACACAGAAAACCCCACAGAAAATTTAAATACACCCGACACCATAATACACCCCCACAAAACCCATTAAAAACACAGACGATTCATCACACACAGACGCATTCATACACAGATTATTGGCACTGTCATGGTCTATCAATCTCTATCAGGTTCTGGATAGCAGAGTCTCGTCACTCCATCTACAGACTCTCTCTCTCTCTCTCTCTCTTCTCTCTCTCTCTCTCTCTCTCTCTCTCTCTCTCTCTCTCTCTCTCTCTCTCTCTCCTCTTCTCTCTCTCTCTATCTCTGTATCTGTTCTCTGTATCTTGTCTCTCTCTCGATACTCTCTAGGTTCCTGACAGGTTTGTAGAGATAGCAGAGTTAGCCCTGAGGGAGTTCTTCACAGCCATACAGACAGGACGTGACAGTGACCCCTGTTGGAAGAAATCCATTTATAAGATGATCTGTAAACTAGATAGTCCCGTACCGGATAGTTTTAGACTGCCTGGCTGCCCCATGGGCTGAGGAGAGGACAGACACACACACCGTATGGGACACACACACCATACACACACTGGGAACACACACACACACACACACACAATGAGCTGACGAACAACAATGAAATGTTGCAATTATTATACATACAATACATGTGACTTATAATGGAGAGAGCAAGGAAGGTCTAATGGAATGGAATTACTGTACTATAATATTACTATACTATTATACTATTACTATACTATTACTATACTATTATACTATTACTGTACTATAATATTACTATACTATTATACTATTACTATACTATTACTATACTATTATACTATTACTGTACTATAATATTACTATACTATTATACTATTACTATACTATTACTATACTATTATACTATTACTGTACTATAATATTACTATACTATTATACTATTACTATACTATACTATTTCTATACTATTACTGTACTACACTATACTATTACTATTACTATTACTGCACAATGGTTTCTCCATGCACTCAGTTCTGCCCTGAAACTGGTGGAATCCCAAATTGCACCCTATTCCCTAATTAGTCCACTACATTTGACAAGGGCCCATAGGTCCACTATATATATATATATATATATAGGGAATTAGGTGCCATTAGGGATGCAGGCCGCTGTCTTTCTTGTGGCTCATATATATTCTGTTAGTGAAATACTGTTGCTCCACAGCGATAGAGCTGTACTTATATGGTGGCTTATTCTTCTCTGCAAAATGGAATATTACACTTTTTTGTTTTTGTTTACTTGGTTACTAAACTGTTGTTTTGTTGTTGTTGTTAAAAAATAAGATGCCTAAAAATATATATATAATCTTTTATCTTTTGAAGTTTATATGAACATGTCAAATCTGTGATGCGCATTCCAGCGTTTTTTTAACATATAAATTGAATGACTAGAATCTAGAATAGTAATTATATTAATTGTATTTCCATGGTTTATAATATATGATTCGTTTCTATATAACAAGATCTGTGCCTCAAAACCTTTTTGATGATTTTTTGATGTTATGACAAACACACACACACACATGTTTTTGATGTTATGACATAATCAGTGTAATAAATGAAGGAAGGGAATGGAGTGGTAAAAGCAATGAGAAATAAAACAGAGGATTGAGGAGGGGAAATGGAGTGTGACTGTGTTTCTTCCCATAACACACACTATGAATGGGCCACACACAAACTTACCATCATCTTCTCTCGACAGGGCGATATTTCAACACTGCAAGGGGGTTCTAAACAAAACACATTTTGAAACAATCTATAATCACTCCAACTTCTGCTTGGTTCGCTTCATGATATATTTATAAACGTGATACATATCCTCCCCTACATCTCTTTTCTCCCTCTATAAATCTCTTTTCTCTCTCTCTTTCTCTCTTTCTCTCCCTCTCTCTTTCTCTCCTCTCTTTCTTTCTCTCTCTCTTTCTTTCTCTCCCTCTCTCCCTCTCTCTCTCTCAGGGTGAATCTCAATTGCATACTCCTAGAGTCCTCTCTCTTCGCCTCAAAACCCATTGGATGAGATAGTCTGAGGTCCCTCCCCTCTGACCTGAGATTCTCCCTCAGTCTCTATCCATCACTCCCTCTTTCTCCATCCCTCTTTTTCCCTCACTCTCTCTTTCTCCAGACCCCTGTGAGTTGGGCAGTAGTATTGGGGTCAGTAAGGTCCTCTTGGTAGAGTGTGTTGGTAGCCTGGTAGCCGACACACTTAAGGGCTAGATTCAATCAGATCTGCTTTAGCCGACATCCAAATAGCAGGTTGTTTTGTCAGAGGTGGAACTGCCTTTGAGCTGTCAAATCCACAAGTGGCTCCAGACATACCTAAAGTTGACCTTGCCATTGGCTGCAAGGAGTCCCATTTAACTAAAATCCCATCCAAGCTAACAACAAAATGTTCCCACAACAGTCTCGTTAGGTTATTATCTAAAATGTTCAGATGAACGTTCCAGGTGATGTGCAAGGACTGTTTCTGGCTGCTGACTGCCTGGTAAGGATATGGGGGGGGGCACCTGACAGATGTTCACTATGACAGATGTTCACTATCACAGATGTTCACTATCACAGATGTTCACTGTGGCGCATCAAGATTGTTGGAACCTCTCCATCACGCTGACAATAAACAATGATTCCTTTAAGATTGATTCCGAGTGTAAGAATTTCCACAACAATTATATGTTTTGTAGTAAAAGAAGATAAGTGTTTCTAATGACATCATCGGTGTGCATTGTGTGATGTTAACCCAATTGTGAGTGAGTGATCGCCTATTAATTTGTCTACTGGTTGATGATGTCATTGGAAACACTTATCTCTCTCTATCTTTTCTACTACAAAACCATAGAAACGCGCCATTTTCACATATGTTGATGTCGGGGTGGTGCTGGAGATGGTGAATATGAAGTTGAAAAATGGTGAAATTTCCCTTTAAAGAATTTATTAAAAACAATGCAACTGCATTTGCACCTGGGCTGAATAAATCACAATTAAAGAAAATATCCGAATTGGAAAAGTTTTTAACGATGTTAGAGCGTTCTGAACAAACACTTTTTACAAAGTCAAGACAGATCTAAATCTATTGATAAAACAGAGAGCAGAATATATCTGTTTATATCTTTGATAAACACAGATATAAAACTATTTGTTTTTTGTATTCTATCGTTCTGTCTCGAAACCTACTTACTCAAATTGGTCCATCTGGACCAAAGCGGGTTTATAAAAAAATTATTATCCTCAGATAACCTCTGTCATCTATTACATTATCTTACATGCTTCATCAGAAACCAACGCTCCTTTGGGCAGTTCAATCTCTCGACGCAGAAAAAGCTTTTGATAAACTAAATTATCTTTGGTCGGTTTGGCGACTTGGCTCCAATGTGGGACTTGGCTCCAATTTCATTCATATGATTAAAATACAGTACTATATATCCAATCCCTCAGCCATGGTAATAACAGGCAATACATGCTCTGTTCCTTTCAGAATAACTAGAAGTAGCAGGCAAGGTGATCCCATCTCACCGCTGCTATTTCTATTGTCTATGGAGTCCCTGGCCCAGGCAATTCGAACAATCGAAAGAAATTACACCAAAATCTCTCAATTCTACGGATCATGTCATCTCATTATATGCCGACGATATCTTACTTTATCTATACAATGTACAGTTGACAGAGGATGTATGTTTACATACTGTTTTACCCACTTCATATGGATATACTGTATTCTAGTCAAGGCTCATCCTATATAACTACTGCTGTCCACACCTTTTCTATTCATATACTAGCCATGATGTCAATACACACCATCATACACTGCTCAAAAAAATAAAGGGAACACTTAAACAACACAATGTAACTCCAAGTCAATCACACTTCTGTGAAATCAAACTGTCCACTTAGGAAGCAACACTGATTGACGATAAATTTCACATGCTGTTGTGCAAATGGAATAGACAAACAGGTGGAAATTATAGGCAATTAGCAAGACACCCCCAATAAAGGACTGGTTTTGCAGGTGGTGTGCACAGACCACTTCTCAGTTCCTATGCTTCCTGGCTGATGTTTTGGTCACTTTTGAATGCTGGCGGTGCTTTCACTCTAGTGGTAGCATGAGACGGAGTCTACAACCCACACAAGTGGCTCAGGTAGTGCAGCTCATCCAGGATGGCACATCAATGCGAGCTGTGGCAAGAAGGTTTGCTGTGTCTGTCAGCGTAGTGTCCAGAGCATGGAGGCGCTACCAGGAGACAGGCCAGTACATCAGGAGACAGGAGGAGCACTGCCAGAGCCCTGCAAAATGACCTCCAGCAGGCCACAAATGTACATGTGTCTGCTCAAACGGTCAGAAACAGACTCCATGAGGGTGGTATGAGGGCCCGACATCCACAGGTGGGGGTTGTGCTTACAGCCCAACACCGTGCAGGACGTTTGGCATTAGCCAGAGAACACCAAGATTGACAAATTCGCCACTGGCGCCCTGTGCTCTTCACAGATGAAAGCAGGTTCACACTGAGCACGTGACAGACATGACAGAGTCTGGAGACGCCGTGGAGAACGTTCTGCTGCCTGCAACATCCTCCAGCATGACCGGTTTGGCGGTGGGTCAGTCATGGTGTGGGGTGGCATTTCTTTGGGGGGGCCACACAGCCCTCCATGTGCTCGCCAGAGGTAGCCTGACTGCCATTAGGTACCGAGATGAGATCCTTAGACCCCTTGTGAGACCATATGCTGGTGTGGTTGGCCCTGGGTTCCTCCTAATGCAAGACAATGCTAGACCTCATGTGGCTGGAGTGTGTCAGCAATTCCTGCAAGAGGAAGGCATTGATGCTATGGACCGCCCATTCCCCAGACCTGAATCCAATTGAGCACATCTGGGACATCATGTCTCGCTCCATCCACCAACGCCACGTTGCACCACAGACTGTCCAGGAGTTGGCGGATGCTTTAGTCCAGGTCTGGGAGGATATCCCTCAGGAGACCATCCGCCACCTCATCAGGAGCATGCCCAGGCGTTGTAGGGAGGTCATACAGGCACGTGGAGGCCACACACACTACTGAGCCTCATTTTGACTTGTTTTAAGGACATTACATCAATGTTGGATCAGCCTGTAGTGTGGTTTTCCACTTTAATTTTTAGGGTGACTCCAAATCCAGACCTCCATGGGTTGATCAATTTGATTTCCATTGATAATTTTTTTGTGATTTTGTTGTCAGCACATTCAACTATGTAAAGAAAAAAGTATTTACTAAGATTATTTCATTCATTCAGATCTAGGATGTGTTATTTTAGTGTTCCCATTTTAAATACTTGTAGATATATTTATTTCCTTAGATAAAACAATTTCAAGAAACTTTAACAGAACGCTCAAATCAATTCAATCCGACCTCAGTAGATGGACTAATATCCCAGTTGCTTTAACCAGCAGATCATCTATTGTCAAAATGGATATGTTGCCACAGCTGAATTTCTGTAGTTCAAAATAATACTTCCCTTGTCTCCCCTTTCTGGCTATTGGGATAAAATACATAGTGCGGTTTGAAAATGTATTATAATTCTTCCACCTCCTGGCTGAGCATACACTCTTAGAAAAAAGAGTTCCAAAAGGGTTCTTTGGCTGTCCCCATAGGAGAACCCTTTTTAGTTCCAGGTAGAACCCTTTTTAGTTCCAGGTAGAACCAGTGCTTAATTTGAGCCGGATCCTGCCAGAACAGGATCCGGCACCTCTCCGTTTTGGACTGTTTTGTCTAGATAGCACCTTTTTGTAGAGTGTTGAGAGAAATATGGTGTCTCCTGTGGCCCTGGAAGAGGTGGTCTCCACTGATATATCCCTTAAACAATGTAGTATGGTGTCTCCTATTGCCCTGGAAGAGGTGGTCTCCACTGATATATCCCTTAAACAATGTAATATGGTGTCTCCTATTGTCCTGGAAGAGGTGGTCTCCACTGATATATCCCTTAAACAACGTAATATTTTTGTTTTCTTTTTCTGTTTATATTGAATTTATTATCACTTAAACTATACATTTCTTACTGTTTTTATTTTCCTTTTAAGTGGCAGCCTACGGGAACATGTTTTATAAACGTATAATTTGAAATGGATAATGTATTCATGTTCTAGACACGTTTCGCGGGACGTTGCAAGAACATTCATGTGTCCAGTTTTCTGAGGGTTAGGAGAATATTGACGCCAAACATACACAGAACACGGTTGCCATGTTCTCAGAATATAAGATGTTAATGTTCTATTAGACAGCTATACAACGAGCATCGCTTGGCTGAGGAGGTACAGAAGTACTTAGACCTCTACGATTCTAGCCATGCATTATATAAAGACCAGCATGTAAAGGCCAATTCATGTCACAGAGCAGCAGTAGCAGCTGACTCATCCATTGACACATCACTCGCAAATGATTGAAGACAGATCTCAATATCTGGAGAATGTCATGGACCGAGCCACCAGCTTGTCCCAGAGGTAAAGTATTTCAGACTCTCCTCCTTTACTCTGACCCCCCTTTTCCTCTCTTCTGTTGCCCTCTTTCCCCCTCTCCTCCCCATGCACACTGCTCTCCACTCCTTTAATTGAGCGGTCCAAACAAAGGCCTATTCTGCATGATTGGCTGGCCTTGGGTTGTTGTCCTCTCCTGAACATGAGCTTCCTCCGTGGAGGACAATCAATCAATCAATCAATCAATCAAAATGTATTTATAAAGCCCTTTTTACACCAGCAGATGTCACAAGGTGGTTATACAGAAACCCAGCCTAAAACCCTAAACAGCAACGCAGATGTAGAATCAGGACAGGAAGTTGTGGAGGGCCACATGTCTTCATAATGTCCTTAGCCTCTTCAGGGGTACACTCATAGCGTGGGACGATGTTTAGGGGTTGGGGTGGGTACCACTGTAAAGGGAGAGTCAGGGGTACACTCATAGCGTGAGATAAGTGGGGTGGGTAATACTGTAAAGGGAGAGTTAGTAAATGGCAGGTGCAGTACTTTTTGTGAGAAAACAAAAACCAAAACAAATCAGGGGTCGCTGCAGCACCCCCAGCACCCCTACTTCCTGCGGCTATGGGTATCACTTGATTGGCCGACCAAGAATCCTCATCCTTGCCGCCATGATGCCGAATGCATTCTGTATGACTCTCCGA